AAAAAGTTAATGATGCACATATACACATAGATAAGATAGTAAAATAGCTTATTTGCAGCAACAATGGAAAACAAAAATAAAATAGCACTCAGAGAAACACTAACTGTGACAGACCTTTATGGGGGAAAAAACTGAGGGATCTCAAACTGGAGTTCCAAGGGGAGGGACAAACACTATCTAGGGGTTAAATAAAAATAAGGTGGCAGCATGAGGCAGTAAGATGAAATGGTACAATGAGATGCATGATGAGGCAACTTTTAAGCTCTTGCCTCATCTAAAAAAATTCCCTTATGAATAAATACCTACAGGTACAGGTGGTGCTTGCTGGCACTGTCTCTTACTGTGATGAAGTAGTTCAGACATTTTCACTTTTCATCCTATGTACTTCCAATTGCTGTCCTTCCTCTATCATGTTGGAGGTCACCATGTGTTGCATTTCTCTGACCAGCAGAAAAATGCCAGGTGATTAGAATAGACTATTCAAGACTTTCCTTAGTCAAGAGGTAAGGGCAGAGGATCTTGTGATTGAGTGTCCTCTTGACCTGTACATCTGTATAGCTTTTGAGAAGTTTTTCATTATGTAAGTAGTAAAATATATTAACTTGACTCCAAGATGTTTTATTTCATTTTTATTTGCTGCTCTTCCTTGTTTCCATAACTACATCTTTATCAGAAGGCAGCTTCAGTGTAAGAAACAAGGTTATGCTGTCCCAGGGCACGGGTTTTGTTTTGGCTTTAACCCAGGCAGTTCCTGCCTTGGTCAACTTAACCTCAACATAATAGTCTTAATTTTAGTTACTTATGTCTTGCTAATGCTACTATAATGGAGATAGCATAAGCGAATGGCTTTAACAAACAAATTTATCTTCCCACTGTTTATGAGACTAGAAGTCAAATTCATAATAACAGTTCTAGAAGAAATATTTCTCTCTCTGTTGGTCCTGGAAGACAGTCTTTGTCTCTTTTTAACATCCATGGGTCTGACATTTCTTTGATCTTTGTCTGTCTTGGAACGTTTCCTTAGTCAGAGACCTGGGTTCAAAGCATTTGCTTCACTCCTGGCTCTTCTTTCTTGGTAGCATTGAGATCTCCCTCTCTCTGCTTACTCCTCTTTATCATCTCTTGGAAGATAAAAAATGTGGCAGATCATACTCTGTGAAAGCTTCCCTTACATCGATCAGGGCTATGGAGGTAGTAAGGGTGTGGCATCATCCTTAATTTTTAATGACTGAACATGCTTATCAAGTGATGAGGGATCATTGTCAAACCACCAAGAATAATAGCCCAGCCAAGTTGGCACATATTTTGGGGGAATATAATTCAATTAGTGATATTATATTTTAATTCTAGAATTTCACAGTCATTTTTTAAGTGAGTGTCCAATAAGAATTCAGTGTTGTGATGTTTGTACCATTGAGTCAGAATTGACCCATAGCCAACCCTCCAGTGTGTTTTCAGAGGCAATTAAAGACAAAGAAACAGGTTGCCCATCTTTTTCCCATGGAGCAGCTGGTGGACTCAAACCATGAGTCCTTGGGATTGTAGCACAGAAAGGGGGAAGGGTAGAAATCATTAGGATAGCATAGTTTAGTGGGTGAATGGAAGGTGAAGGAATAGGAAAGATTCAATGAGGACGTAAAACAATGGGATAATAATTGGCATGTTGTTGGTGTCATATGCCAGAAAGTCACCTGTGATTGACAGTGACCCTATATACAAGAGCTCTGAAGCCTGCCCTGTCCCAAGCCAGTCTCACTGACTCTAAAACGCCTACTTCCATTGCCCTAGTTACTGTATCAATCCCTCTCATCCAGGATCTTCCTCTCCTGAGCTGTCCCTCTGACCTTCCAAGCATGATGTCCTTCTCCAAGGATTGGTCCCTCCTGGCCACATGCCCAAAGTATGTGAGATGAAGCGTCAAAATACTGGCCTTTAAGGAGAAACTTGGTTTCACCCTCTTCAAGAGCAACCTATTTGTTTTCTTGGTGGCCCATGGTATGTTCAAGACTCTTCTCCAGCACCATAACTCAAAGACATTGATTCTTCTTCTATCATCCTTAATCACTATCCAGCTCTCTGATGCATAACAAGTAATTGCAAAGACCATGTACTGGATCAGTCAGACCTTAGTCTCTAGACTGACATCATTGCTTCTCAATACTCTGGAAAGGTTCCTGACAGCAGATTCACCTTTTGATTTCCTGACTGCTAGTGCCAAAAGTGTTGATTGTGGAGCTGAGCAAGCTGTAACTGCTAACAACCTCAATCTCTTCTCCATCCTTCATGGTGCTGCCAATTGGCCCAGTGGTAAGAATTGTTTTCTTGATATAGAGCTTCAGTTCATATTGAAGACTACAGCCCTTGACCTTCTACAGCAAGTGCTTCAGGTCTTCCTCAGTTTCAGCAAGCAAGGTTGTGTTGTCTACATAACATAGGTTGTTGATGAATCTTCCTCCAATCCTGATGCCACATTCCTCCTCATAATGCCCAGCCTCCCAAATGATCTGTTCTGCATATAGATTGAAAAGGTATGGACACATCCCTGATGCACTCACTCCCTTGCTGATTTTGAACCATGCAGTGTTTCCTGCTCTGTTCTGAGGACTGCCTCCTGGTCCAAGTACAGTTTCACATAAGCAAGAGTTCTGGTAATTAGATAAAATACAGTGTATATGAATGATTATATGAAACAATGTAAATGAAGGATTGTATAAAACACAATGTGCATGAATTAAACTCAATATAAACCTCAAAATATACCTCAAAAAAACCCCCAAAAAACAAAAAAGTGGAGTGATAACAAGGTTAGAGTGTGTTCAGGAAGGCTGTTTTGGGGTGATGAGAGTGGAATTTAAGGTTCTCAGAAAATGGTTTGAGGAGAGAATAGATGACAGTCACTCACATGTACATATAACACATGCCCCTTGCTGGTAAAATTTAATGATAATTTGCCTAATTTAATGAGGCAGTTGTCTAATTCCTCCAAGAAGTATGCTTGTCTGACTCAGAAGCTTGTGGGAGGTAGCGACCAGATGGTGTCCCTAAGGTAGGCTGTAGGGAACATTGTCTGGAAATGCACTGAGGGTGGAAGTGAATGTAAGAGAAAAGGGATTAAAACTTATCCTGGGACTTCACCTCTCAGCATTCCTGACATCCTGCTTTTTCTTTTAAGGCCATAAACTTCTAATTTCTAGTGATTTCTGACCTTTGCATGTGATAAAACTCGGAGTATCTGTGGTATCCTGAGCCCAAGACAAACCAGTTCAAGGCAAACCAGCTTCTAAAGTTCTACCTGTAAACAAGAGTTAATTTTGTCAAAAGTTGCATACTAAGCTAAGACTTAAACTCAGCGACAAGACCAATTGTGTATGCACTCAGTTACCATACTCCTTCCCATGTGGACCAGTTCCTGAATTCCTCCTTCCTCCCACAAATAAATGTGATGTCCTTTTCCTACTTCACAACTTTAAAAAAATTCTACCTTCTCCTTTGTTCTGGGAGATACACTTGCATCTAAGGAAGCCCCCACGTCTTCCCCTTTGCAAAGGTTCTCTCTAATAAATTCCAGCTTTTATGGAATGTTCTGGCCTGCCATTCTGTCATTCTTGCTAGATAGAGAAAGAACTTGCAATTTGGTAGGCAGCTATCCTGCAACAGCCGCTCTGGAGACACTCACATCTCCCTCCGGGAGAGGCAGCACTGGGAAGGAAGTCTCTGGGCCATGGATTTTCTGCATTGTTGGTGTCCAACACAAATCCTGGGTGAAATAGAAAGCTGACACTCTGTGTCTCTTTCATCTGAAGATAAGAGTTTTTTGGTTTTTTTTTAACCACAATGGCCATGATTCTCCTTCTCAGCCTTGACTCTAGATGGTGCTGCCTCTTTGTTGACTGGAGCTTGTTCAGACCGCAGACTAGCATCAAGTGTCTCAAACCTGGATTGTTTGTCACTCTGGATGACACCAGACAACCAAGTCTTGGCACTGAGAAATCACCCTTGAGGATCAGCTCAGAGAGAAAGGATGTCCATACATCACATTATAAATTTTTTTTAAAGTTTTATATTGGTTTGCTTACAAATTTTGTATACATTGTGTTTCACACTATTCTTCATTGATATTTTGTTTCACACAATCATTCCCATGCATTATGGGGTTTTTTTATACTTTTTAAAAAATTTATTTATTAATTTTAATGAAAGTTTACAGAGACTTAGGATTTCCAGTCGTTCATTGTTGCATTTTTCTCCCTGCCCACCCTATTCTGTCCCCCCCCCCCATGCATTATGTTTTATAAAATCAATCATCACTGGACCTGGCCCATCATTACCCAGTCTTTTCAGGTTCCCACCAGATCCTTCCAATTTCCTTCACCCACTCCCTCCACCCATCAACTTTTATAGAGATCCTGGCACAGGGTGAGTTCTAGGACAAAAACACATCCCTAGAAGAGGAGTCTAGACCTTATACATGACACTGCTGCTCCTACCATATACAAGGGCCCTTTATGGCCTGGTACTATCTGAGGAAGCCCTATGTGGGTGCTGTTAGTGTCTCTCCATACCCCATAGGAGGAGCTGGGGAGGAGCATGTGGATTTGAGCAAAAGTGCGGCTACGTCTTCCTATTGGGTTTGGATCATGGTCTGATGCAGGACTGAAGGAAGAGGCATTCCATGGCTCACAGAAGACTTTGCACTTCTTCTACTGGGATCACTGCATGAGGAGAGTGAGGGGACAGCAATGGATGGACATAAGGCCTGGCTCAGAAGGGGCAAAGTTATCCTGGTAGCCACTGGGAAGGAATGTCACTAGCACATTCTCACGAGAATCGATCCAGCGGATGGTCTACAAGTTAATGAAAAATTGATTGTTTTGACAACACACACAATGAAAGAGAAGGAGTACCACAAGTATAAAGTGGGTGGACACATTTATTGTTACTGGGGTCTCTGGGGATCTCTGAACAGGACTGGCTTCACTGGTTCCCCGCAGAACAAAGTATCACTCATGACTCTGTTTGTGGAAGTGAGTGGCTATATCCCCTATTACAGAGAGAAACTCAGAAAACTCCATCTTTTTATCCCCATTTTTGTCCTTTTCCTCAAAGACATTGGCCAAGTAATTGGTGCCTCTTTTTTCCTATAGGGAGGAAACACAGAACATTCAGTCACTGTGACAGTATGGAATAGGACATTTAAGAAGGGCAGAGGAAGGCAGGATGGGTGCACAGAAGGGGAACCTGATACAGTAATGACCAGAGAGCATGCGGGTAAAGATACAGTGATGACATAGCATCACACTGAGTGTTATCTCAAAAGCTGGTTAACATGAATGAGCAACTCAGGCTGCTGGAGCAGGCCCACTGGAGGTACCTAGGGAGTGAGTGAGGAGGGGGTAACCCTGCCTGAGGTAATAATACCACCTTCTTATGTTTTTTTCCAGGAATTCAGAATAGCCTTTGATGGCATATTAATTTCATTCTCTAACTATCCCCTTATATCTCCCCTTCCTAATTAGTCTGTTCTGAGTTCCTTGTATTAACCAATGCTTTAGATTAACAAGTTGAGTTCATTCAAGTTATAAATAAGTTTAGGCTTTCCAATGAATTTTTTCCATTACAAGGGAGAAGTTAATGAACTTACAGATGGGATTTCTGTGACTTTTCTGTATTTTATTTTCTTTATTCTGAGGCACATTAACAAGAGTCTTTAAGAGACAGGGACCGAACACAAGGAGTCCATACCAATGACAAAAGAGAGGCCTGTTCACTGTCCTTCCAGTTGTTATGCTTTGTTAACCATATATTCATAAACCTTTATACTCACACCATGATTTACTATTTTGAATATTTGTTTACATCCTTATAATAATCCATGGGAAATGAAGTTCTATTGTCTCCCTTTTGCAGATGTGAAAATTGAAGGTTAGAGAATGACAGTGACTTGTCTGAGGTCACATAGCATGATATATCCCCAGCCATGTGAGGGGCCCACCAACACAGACCATCCCCATCCTACTCACACAGGCACTGAGGAAGTTGGGGAAGTTCTCCTTCACCATTGTGGTCAGGCCAGGCTTGTCAACTGTGTCATCTCCTGCAGTGTACTTGTGAAATAGATCAACTATGTCCAGCAGGCTCTTCTCAGCTTGAGTGCTGCTCATCTTTGCTTTCAAGAAGGCTATAGAGAAGAAAGACAATAATTTTTATTTCTTTCTCTGGGAAGTAAGTCTCTAAGTTAGCTTCTGGGCTAGGGGCTGAAGTGGAGCACCTTTGTGCCCAGAGGGGACCTCTTAGGGTGAATTCCAGGGAGGTGATCAGTACCTCACCCATGTGAGGGCAGATCATCTCACCAGGCCAGTGGATCAGGAGAGCCTCCAAAGCATTAGCTGATGGTTTCCTGGACCTACTCTCTTCAAGGAGGTAGGGTGAGAAGTGGGTCTTTATGAGTCTCACATTTGATCATCAGGTGGATCCAGGAAGTTAAGGAAGAGAGGAAAAGTCCTGTCCTCAGCTCCCTCTAAAGACAATTTCTCAAGAGTTCTCATAGATCCACCAAGTGACAGAGCCAAAAGGAACAATAGAGACAGAAAGAGACCCAAAAGTACTAGATGAAGACCACATAGCCCCGTAGTGGCAGAGTAGGGACTAGAACCTGGGCTCTCAATTCCTTACCCACTAGCTCTCTTTCTGTTCTTGCAGAGATCAGAGCAGGAGGCATCAAGCATGACTCCTGGAAGAGCAGAGGCAGGCATAGATTTGTGCTTACCAGAGTGTAGAAGGGCCACCGAGGAGAGGACCAAGAAACTACGTGCCTGGGCACAGAGCAGGTCCTTTATATAGTTTTGCCTGAGTCTGTGGGGCCAGAAGCCCTGAGGTCTTGTGTGTTATCTCCTTCCTGCAATCCTACCCCACACAGGTATCAGGACATACCTTGGAGGATGTGACCAGTATTTCCCATTAGTATCCAGGATCACCAGTAAGGATATACTATGGACTGAATTGTTGTTAGTGGCTTCCAAGTCGAGTATGACTCATACACTGAACAATCGATCAGAACACTATCCTATCTTATGCCACCTTCACAGTCTCTGATACACTCAAGCCCATTGCTGTAGTCACTGTGTCAACATATCTGGTTGAGATTTCCCTGTCCTTTGCCATCCCTCCACCTTTTCGAGCATGATGTTTCTCTCTGAGGAATAATTTCTTTTAGCAACATGTCCAAAGTATGCAAGATAAAGCTTCATAATCTTTGTCTCCAAGGAGAACTCTGGGTGCACCCTCTCCAAGACATACTTGTTTGATCTTTTGGCAGCCCATGGTATATTCAGTACTCCTCCAACATCACAATTAAAAGGCATCAATTTCTTCTGTCATCCTTATTCATTGTCCAGCTCTCAGATGCATAACAAGTGACTGAAGAGACCTTACCCTGAATCAGGCACACCTTAGTCCTCAAATTGACATCACTGCTCCTCAGTAATTTGGAAAGGTACCTGACTATAGACTTTCCCAGTCCAATGTTGATCTAACTGGATTGAATTCATTCTCTCTCTCTCTCTCTTTCTACACACACACACACACACACACACACACACACACACACACAATCCTCTATGGCTGAGGTTATAATCTTACTTGGGAAATGATTTAATTTGTTCTGTTAATGAGGTAGAATTAGTATAGAACTTATTTTGAGTCAATCTCTTTTGAGATATAACAGAGATTATATAGGTGAGCAGATGGAGAGTAGATGATGAGAGATGGGTTAAGGTTGATACTAAACCATCTGAATACTGCTTAAAAGAAGAAGCAAAAAAAAAGATGAGGACCTTTCTCAAGAGTTGACTTTACTACAGAAAGCCTTCCTTTGTATTAGGACATCTAACCTCCTAAGTGGTGAGAAAATGCTTCTGTTTGTTAAACTTACCTATTTGTGACATTTCTGTTATAGTAGCTACTAAAACATTTGCTACAGAAAAAGAAATACGACAACCTTCAATATAGGTGACATTTCAACATCGAGAAAATAAAAATCTTCACCACTGGATCAACTGGTAACATCATGATAGGCAGAGAAATAATAAAAGTTGTCAATGATTTCATTTTACTTGGATCCACAATCAACATCTATGGTGGAAGCAGTCAAGATATTAAAAGATGAGTTGCAGTGGGGAAATAGCTGTCAAGTATCATCTCAAATGGTAAAGTGTGAAGATTTAGTTTAAAGGTTAAGCTGTGCCTAATACAAGCCATAATCTTTTCAATTGCTGGCTAAGAAGTTGAACATTGGAGAATGAATAAGGGTGACAGAAAAAGAATGCATGCCTTTGAATTGTGGTGTTGGCAAAGAGTATTGAATAGCCCATAGACTGACAAAAGAACAAGCTAATCTGTCTTCAAGATGGAATTCAAGGAAGAAGAAGGAATGGTAAAATTTGTCTCATTTACTTTGGGCATATTTTCAGGAGGAAGCAGTCCTTGGAAAGAGACATCATCCTGGGAAAGGTAGAGGGTCCGTGAAAGAGAAGAAGATCCTTAACGAGATAGATTGACCCACAATGGGCTTGAACATGACAGAAATCACGAGGACTGTGCAGGAGGGGGCAAGGGTCATATCTGTTGTTCACAGGGTGGCTATGAGTCAGAGTCAATTTGAGGACACCTAGCAACAACAAGAAAAACAGAGTAACTAAGAAAGACTTTGTACTTCCTAGATCTCCACAGCCAGAGTCTCCTTATCCCCAAACCCAACCCAGGAGCAGTCTTAGTAAGTTGTGTGGTTATAGTACAGGAAAGGAGTGAGAGAGAATTGGAATTTGGATCCTAAGGGGATGGAAGTTGGAGCCTGGATATAGCTCATTTCTATGAATCTTATCCTATTCTTCAAGAAGTCTGGACTGACGACTCATTGACCTCCCAACTCCAGCGATGTGGACTTACACTGTGTCAAGTACCTCTTGCTCATACCTTGGCACATGTACCCTCACCACAATCCTCCAAGGCTGGCATTGTTATCCCTCTGTAGGGAGGGGACACTGATGTGCAAGGGATTAAAGAAACATCTCAAGATTCCACATCTAGTAGATGACAAATTCTGGATGTGAACCCAGATCAAGTGGATTTCAAATTTTCCTCTTGATCCTCCCCATCAAGCCTCTGGGTTCTATCAGGCCTGGCCACTGAGGATTCCAAGTCTAGGCAGAAGGTAAGATTTGAAGTGCTGTCATCATATCAGAACCTCCCAGGAGCCACAGGGAAGAGATTAGCATCATTACCCATAGATCAGAAGACACAGGGCAGTGCACCAAATGGTCACTGGTGTGAGAAGCAAGGTTCCAGAACCCAGGTGACCTGACTTTGAGCCCTCATTCCTGAACAGCTGTCATTCCAGGAACATTACTACCTAGAGTTGATGATATGAGACCTGCATAGGATGAGTCTGAAGACAGAGGATCAGGCCCCATGACTGATACTTTCCTATAATATCTTTGGTTTTTCCTCTTTCTTTGATGCAAACCAGCCAGCATCAGAGTTGGGAGTAGCCTCACCTCTGAACTGCATTATTTGCTGGAATCTGGTCCCCACATGGGAATCGAATCTAGGAATGAGAATGAGTTTCTGGGGTGGATGAGGATGAACCTAATGGGTTTCAGACAATTACCATACTTCTGCTTTCCCTCTCTGAGTCCCCGAATGACAGGGGAGCTTTGACCCTCTCCCGTGAGCAGCTGCTCAGCTCCCTGGTCTCTGCAGAACACCCTGGGGTCTCTCTGGGATGTGGCTCTTCTCATGACTCACCATGTTTCATCCTCATGGAAGCTGTGGCCTTTCTAGTACTTCCCTCTCCAATTCTTTATTATCGTTAGTAGTAAATACAGCAAAAATAGATGATCTGAATATCAATGAAAATGAGAGCTGTTGAATATGTTCTACGATATATCCAGATACAACTATCCCAATTAATAAAAAGACATTTTATTGGATAAATGTATTGTCTATTAAGAAAAACATTTCTTTTCATATGATCGTATTTTAGGAAAATGAATGTAATAGAGGAAAAGCAATTGTGAAAGAATCAGGCTTAGCACAGAAAGGTCAACAGTTTGAAACAACTAAAGGGGGAAAGATAAGACAGTGGGCTCCTGTTGTTTAGACTCTGGTCATCAGGAGTTGGAACTGACTCAACGGCAATGGGGTATGTGTGTTTGTACATGTGTGTGTGTGTGTTTCAAATAAGACATCAACTAGTCAAGCAGAGATATTTAACATTAGTGAGTGTTTAAGCCACTGAAATGCTGTAGACTTAGTCTAAGAATATAATCATATGTCAAGTGTTGTTACTGTGGTGAACCGTCGAGTTGGAACTGACTCATACCTGACCCTCTCGCAGGTTTTCAGAGGCAGGACATTGCACAGGAGGAGATTGCCCACAGTGAAAAATAGAAATGTAGCTGATTGTGACAGCGTTTTCTCAGGCCTACAGAGAATACACAGAAACACCAACTAAGAAGCAGAGCAGGGCCAGCACACATTTTCTGTAAGAGCCAAGTAGAAAGTATTTTGGTCTTTGTGGGCCTTATAGGTTTTGTTGTAACTATTCTGCTGTTGTAACACAAAGCAGCATTATGAATGTCATGAATGGCTCAGTGAATGGCTGTGTTTGTTTTCTAATAAAGTTTTATTTAAAAAAAAAGTGGACGGCTAGATTTGACCTACAGGTCATAATAATCATAATTATTATATTATCATAATTATAATGACTTCTGACATAGAGCATTTGAACAAAAAATTCTAAATTTAATTTGTGTGTGTGTGTGTGTGTGTGTGTCCAGTATCTTTCTCATTTCTAATTGAAACCATCTCATAGCTGACCCTCCAGAAGGTTACCAAGGCTTTAAATCACTTGGTAGGAGACAGTCTATCTTTTTCTCTCAGATCTGCTCACGGTTTCAAGCTGCCAGAGAAGCATGGCCTTTGGGTTAGCAGTGCAGTTTCTGTGGATTATGCCACCAGATCTCCCTACACACACTCAGGTATATGTAAATTTTTTTATATGCAAATATATACCAAGGGGACCACCAGTGTTTTTAACACATATGTGGAACACCTAGAAAAACTGCTAATTAGCCAAACCCCAAATTTAACAAGCTAGCTATTG